ATTTTCAAATTTGGCAACACTGGTCAGACAAATATGCTTCGTTTCTTTAGGGGTTACTACGATTCCTTGGTGGTGGTGCTCAGGCGGGACTTGGAGGAAAAGCAAAGGGCATCTGTGACGATGCAGTGACAAGAGGCAGCGATGGTGGTTGTAGCAGGGGACCTGCCAGAACTCAAAGCTACAGGTTGATTTTAGGATCTGGGGCCACAGAGTTCTCCTGACCCTAAATAGCTTGAGGTTCTGTTGGAGTTTTATCTACATTGTCCATTATTGGTTAAGGAATGACCTGGACAGATCACTGGGAAGGTCCCCTTCATTGCTTGAACAAAGGTGTTAGGTGGGAATAGATGTCCTATTAGAGGAAGAGGGAACACCTGCCCCTAGAGGGGGTTTTCTTGACAGGGAGAGGGCACATGCATGTATCTCACAAAGTGAGGCACAGTACAACAGTCTAATCACATAAGACTCTACAGTGAAACACAGCACAGTAATGCAGTGAGGTTAGCTGAAGACAAAGAGATCTAATATTATCTTAAGACTGATGTTTCTTTCAAAAGTTGATCCACTTGTGGTTAGAATCTAAATAAGTTACACATTATCCCCAGTTAGACGACATATACAATATGTTCACTAAAGGAATGGAGTTTATAAGGGGAAAAATCACTCGATTCCATTATCTGCTCATGAGGCCCCTGTGTGCACAGATGCTGTGCGGAAGCACACGGAAGACGCCATTTGCACATTCCTATCAGCAAATATCCTTTGATGAGGAGACTTCCGGTGGCTGCATGTCATGGCAGGGAGTAAGTGTAAGTTAGGCAGTGATTTGTGGACTTCACGTTTTGCTGTTAAAAATGTTACAACAACAAAAAAAACAAAAATAAAAATAAAAATGTTACAATGATAATCTATCTGTGTCAGTCTGTGTTCACTTTTTTTTTTTGAAACAGAGTCTCACTACATCACCCTCTGTAGAGTGCAGTGGCATCACAGCTCACAGCAACCTCAAACTCTTGGGCTTAGGTGATTCTCTTGCCTCATCCTGGGACTGCAGGCACCTGCCACAATGCCCGGCTATTTTTTTTTGTTGGAGTTATCATGGTTGTGTTAGCTGGCCTGGGGCCAGGTTCAAACCCACCTACCTCGGTATATGTGGCTGACGCCCTACCCACTGAGCCATGGGCGTCACCCCTGGGTTCCCCTCTAAGACTTATTTCATCCGACTTAATCCCTGGCAGCAGCATTATTGACCCTAAGTGTTTGACCACTTGAGACTCTGGCTACACGGCCACATGGAGCCTCCCTATTCTGGATTTGCTGCTCCCCGACCACATCAGGCAGCAGCTGCCCATTTGAGGGGGAAGAGTCACTCTGATTTGCTTTCCTTTGACCACGGATGTGTATCATAAACTCCAGGGCCATTTCTATTCCTCCCTTTCTGAGTTCTGTGTGCATCTTTTTCCATTTGGTGGGTCTTGTAAGAAATCCCAACTTGTCAGAACACTAAAGATATGTTTAAAGGAAAATCAAAATTTAATTTAATTTCAATTTAAAGGAGGTTTGGGGGTGATTAAACATCACTGAGAAAGAGCTTCAGACACACTCACCCCAATGCACTTGACCACTTTAGCCATGACGTTGCCCTGCGGCTGGTACTTCTTGTACATGCTGCTGCCCATGACAAACACAACTAGACAGAGCGAAGGAAGACGTGTCAGCAGGGGGTCCGCCAGAGCCACCGGGGCCCAGACAGACACGCTTTCATTTGAATTATAACCTCATTTTGGAAATATCCAGATTACTTATGGAATGGGCTTACCTCACAGTTTAGAAAGTGCTTTTGAATCTAACAACCACAGAAGCCTCTGAGGCCTATTGTATGTTTACTCTAACATACAAACCTTTAGCCTGGTCTCTACTGGCCAGAACTCAAGGCAGCTCCACACACTCAGTGCAGCCATTTATGCACAAGTTCTATGTCCGTGCAACCAGGGACAATAGGAGCAAGTGCTTTCCCCAGATTAAAATGTATTGATATTATTCTACAAAGTCAATATCTGTAGGTGTAAGTTTCTGCCTGTAATGGCTAGGGGAATTTTCTTTTTTTTAATCTTATGTGATAAAAAAGCATCTGTTGAAACTTTAATTCAATCCTATGTGGTAGAAATGATTTTTGTGGTCACTATACAGAAGCACAGTTAAAATTAATTGCATTTGCAGCTACCATTTTGTAAAAGTTAGAAGCAACTTTTCTTTTCTTTTTTTGAGACGGAGTCTCAAGCTATCCCCCTGGGTAGAGTGCCATGGCATTACACTCACAGCAATCTCCAACTCCTGGGCTCAAGCGAGTCTCCTGCCTCAGCCTCCCAAGTAGCTGGGACCACAGGCGCCGGCCACAACGCCTGGCCATTTTTTTTGGTTGCAGCCATCATTATTGTTTGGCAGGCCCGGGCTGGGGATTCGAACCCGCCACCTTAGGTGTATGTGGCTGGCGCCTTAGCCGCTTGAGCCACAGGTGCTGAGCCAGAAGCAACTTTTCAATGAGACCATTCTTCTATGGACTTTCTTAGGCATATTATGAAAATAACTTAATAACTTGCATTTCTGCAAGAGACTCTGAAAACAGTCCCTATGGTGGGATTTCTGATTATCCAAAACTACCATTGAATAATTGAAAAGCTGCAGGCATAGCTTGAATTTTTCTTGTTTTCCTGAATTAAGCAAGCCTAAGATTTTTGATAGCTCCTCATTCTCAAGCATATCTCCAGTAAGTGCCTATCTTATGGATGTCCTTTATAGCTGACAGGAGAGGCGTTTGTTTATTTTCTTGCTCAGGGTTAACTTTTCTCAACACAGACAAGGATGGCAAAAACGTCCATTAGTTTGAGTCTATATTATCTTTTGCCACCTCATATTTTAATCATTAAGCTTCTGGTTAACTGGAGCTAATTCAAAGACAGAAATTTCTACAGGTAGTGTTTGATACATAGGATTTGTCCTGTTCTAAATTCCTCTAAAAGAAAAAGTATAATCTTTGATACAAGGATCTCTTGTACAGATTCAGTGAAAATTTACCTAAAGTATTTAACACAGTGACACAAAGCAAGACTTTTTGATATGCTCTCTCTCTCCCCCACCCAGAATTAGAGAGTAGAAGGTATGAATGAACCTTGTAGGTGTCTGAAGAATTATGAAAGAAAAGAAATTAAAAAGTGGAAAATACTGAGCTATTGCATCAATGTAAGGATAAAGCCAAATTGCTACAACATAAGCAAAAGAAGTTGAAAATGGGCCTATTTGATAATGTTAAGATTTGAAAATAAAAATTGGAGAGAGACATGTCATTACCCGGGGAGCAAAGCTGACAGTGGTGATCAAGGGTAGGGAACCTGTGGCTTCAAGCCCAAATGTGGGGACTGTATATTTATTCTAGAGGCACTCTGGGGATCCTCCAGACCCCCAAGTGCAGCCCCTCGACCGAGTCCAAACATCACAGAAAAGAACAATCTGGATGAAATCAGAAGCTTGCAGGTTTGAAGATGATAGATTATCAACATTTGTATGTTCATTAGAAATATTTCAATGGCATTTGAGCCAGGTTGCCATTTCCTCTACAGAGTTGAAAGTGAAAGCTTTCAGCCTTGGGTCAGCTACCCGAGCATATTCCACCACCTTCATTTCAATCTGCATAGAGAGTAGCACCCTGAAAGGTCTAGCTCAGCTGACTTCGTTCCCTGTTTGATCCTATTCCCTACCTTCTTTGAATACTCAGAGCATGTTGAACATCTGATCACATCATTTTTGTTGCAACTTGTTACATGGACTTTTAAATTTAGTCATGATCATTAATGTAGGGCATGACATGGCCCCAATTCTACTGATTTCTACTTACTCAGGGATACAGCCATGAGAGCAGCAGGAACCCCAAATGCCAGTGGGTAACAAGCTTGTTGACTGTGAATTCCACATTGTTGAACTGGAGAGAAATCACAAGATTAAAATTCATTATGGCCTTGGGAATGCACTTATAGTTTCCTTTTTTTTTTTCCCTCCGAGATAGAGTCTCACTGTTGCCCTTTGTAGAGTGCCGTGGCATCACAGCTCATAGCAACCTCCAACTCTTGGGCTTAAGCGATTCTCTTGTCTCAGCTTCCCAAGTAGCTGGGACTACAGGTGCCCACCACAACACCTGGCTATTTTTTGGTTGTAGTTGTCATCACTGTTTGGCAGGCCTGGGCTGGGTTTGAACCTGCCAGCTCCAGTGTATGTGGCTGGGAATCCTAGCCACTGAGCTACAGGTGCTGAGTCAAAATTAGTTCCATTTTTAAATATCCCTCACTGATTGCCACACATTGCTTTACATCCTGTTGTAGACTTATCTATTTGCCTCACTAGATGTCTTTGCCTTCTGAGCAAAGCAGCATTGGCACAGAAAGCAGGAGGTGGAAACAGGTTCTAATCTTAGCCCCTAAATAGATGTGTCATCCTGGATAGGCCAAAATCAATGGGCCCCTGTTGGTCCTCTGGATTTTCTTAGTGAGGGAGATGTGTCATCCTGGATAGGCCAAAATCAATGGGCCCCTGTTGGTCCTCTGGATTTTCTTAGTGAGGGAGATAAATATGACGTAGATGTAATAACTTGATTCTAGGGGACTCAGTAAATAATCTCGAAAGTGCCCCGGAAAATCAATATTGTATGTTCTTGCATTCATGACAATCAGGCAACAGTTCAATGATCTCAGGCAGAGGTTGACAACTTTTTTTGTAACTGGTAAGAGAGTGTTTCAGCCTTTGTCAACCATTTGGTCTCTGCCTTTGTAGGCATGCAGCCGCAGACAACATAGATGTGAATGGTCTCCTCCAGACGTCTGCATTCACTCCACAGGCCGCAGTTTGCCAACCATGACTGAGACTTATTTTTACTCTGAAATCCCAGTATTAGTAAGGAAACAAATTAGGACTGTAAGAAGAAACAGATTGCAGGAAATCCCTTTGGTGGAACGCTGTAGCCTCCAGGAATTATCTGATCCTACAGGGGTAGCAAAGGTTTAACCAGCTGTTGCACCGTTCTGTAGCGTGTGTAGAGAAAGATGTTAAATTTCGCAAAAGCGTTGGTCATGCAAATGTTTCCTGTTCATGGCAACACAAAACATTTTTTCCCCTGTAAGGAATATAAATGTCTTAGTCAGATCCTCACTTGAGCTGATCATAACAGCTTTCCAGTTCCCTCACTTATTAGTTATATAAAATCTCTCTGGTCAGTCCAGAGGCCTATGGGGAGGAGGTCACTGGGGGGTGGCAGCAGAGACTGCGCTCTCCTTTCGCAGCGGGGTCAGGACTATGGAGGCAGCCATGGCAGCGCCGACCTAGAGTTGGCAAGGCCGGGACTGGGAGTGCTGCAGTGAGATGGCCCAGCTGAACCCACTAGGCACTCGTGCCATGCGCCACCAGTATGTCCAGTGCCAGGTCTGCTGCCCCGCCCACGCTCCTCCTGCCAGTGTGGCCTGCCTGTGCCCATGCTGGTCTTGGCCGTCAGTGTCTCCTCGCTGTTTGCCACCCAAGGCTGTTGTATAAGGAACAGCCTTGGAAGACAGAGATGGTGTTTTCCACCAGTGACTGAGTACATATCCCTGATTGGGGTCTTTGGACTGAATCCAAATTTTACAAAACAAATTCTTATAGTAAGTACGGGATCTAGAGGGCCACATGTGGCCTTGAGGCTGCAGGTTCCCCACCCCTCAGAGCAAAGGGTGGGGACGCATATTGTCCTGGACAGCAAAGACCTGCTCTGGACCAAAGGGTAGGCATGTTTGCTGCCCATCTTAAAAGATCAGGGTTCCCTAAGCTTAGGGTTCATCTCCTGGAACACAGGTGTTGACTGGCATCAACTTGTCCTATAGCAACTGGGATTCTGGGAACCAGTGCAAACTCTTGATGCTTTGGATTATGCTATTTCTCTAAGTGATAAACTGTCCTTTGTCTCTGACCCCTGTCAGCGTCCATGAAACTGGTAGGCCACTTCCTAGTCTGCAAGTACGGTAACATCTCAGATCCTTCTACTAGTTTGCTCTGAAGTAAATGATCCAGTACAAGTGAAACTTAAATCTTAGTTCTTAATTTTCAGACATGTCTTAATGTTTCTTTTATTTATATTTTAAATAAACAAGCTAGTAGCCAATTAAGATCTGAGGAAAAAAATAATAAAAACTTTCCCACATGTTTACTTTGTATATGTAAGATTTTATTTAAAAAATTATTCTGTAATCATTTTGCAATTCAAACATGGGTAGTGTAATAGAACCTGGGGTGGGAGAGGTAAGCAAATCTAACACAAGAATAAAGTGACTAAATTTTATACAAAACAAGGTAGAATGCGGTCTGAGTGTCTATCATCTTCAAATCACTATTTTATACATATAAATCCACAGAAAATATATATTTCATAAGATTAAAGTCTAGACACCATGGTCTTATGAGTTTGTCCCCAGTAACACCAAATATTCCCTTCCAAATGGGAAATTAACAAACTCTCCCTGAATCCTAGCACTGTGGGAGTCCGAGGCAGGTGGATTGCCTGAGCTCAGGAGTTTGAGACCAGCCTGAGCAAGAGCGAGACCCTGTCTCTAAAATAAGCCGTGTGTTGTGGCAGGTGCCTGTAGTCCCAGCTACTCAGGAGGCTGAGGCAAGAGAATCACCTAAGCCCAAGAGCTGGAGGTTGCTGCGAGCTGTGCTGCTATAGGACTCTACAGAGAGCAACAAACTAAGACTCTGTCTCAAAAAGAAAAAAAAAGAAAGAAAGAAAAGAAGTAAACCTTGAAAGAAAAGCAGCTCATTTCTGTCTTTTAGGCTCCCGGTATCTCTCAGAACGTACCTGACAGTGAAGCAAAGGGCAAGACGCAAGGAACAAAACAAAACGCAGAGAACAAGGACTTAGCCTTTTCACCTTTCTTCCTCACAATTAAAACAAGGAAAAGAGAAGTCACGTTCAGCTATTTCTTACCTCTGAGCATGGGCGTGATGATGGTAGAAAGCAAACTTCCAGCATTAATGGCCAAATAAAAGATGGAAAAAAATCTGTTTCTTTGTTTTTCCTGTGATGGAAAGGGCAGAGGTATAGTAAGATGACTTGGGCTCCGTACCAACGGGGCAGACGTGGCCAAGGATCTGACCTGGCTCCCTACTTGATTTTGGTCACCGTCCTGCTCTCTAGTGGACATGAACATAACTGAAAGAACAGACGTTGTGCCAGTGGAACCTGACCCCTGTATGTTATAATCCCTTCCTATGGTCTTGAGGGAGGCATGTGCTCTTACCTGGTCCTCTTCAAACTGATCTCCACCAAATGCAGACACACAGGGCTTAATTCCTCCAGTGCCCAGCGCGATCAGGGCCAGGCC